CAAAAAAAAGGGTCGGATGGGTATTTCGCAGGGCATCGCCCATGGCTCAAATCGGATGTTGTGGCTCAAGATGGCTCAAGGCTCGGAACACTTAGTAAAAAGTAGGTGGCAGGCGTGGCACTTGTGTGACAGGTTCATCTCTCTTACGCTCGGTTTTTGAAACCTGGTCGGATTTTGGATGGGACAGAATGGATGGTTGGGATGGAATGGATGGAAGGGCTGGGCTGGTGCATGCCTCTCAAAGATAATTAATTGGTTTTTGGTTGTGAAGTTTTTTAACAAGGACGTGTTTTAACATGTTGGTCAATGTTGGTCATGTGTTTCATGATGGTGTTTGTGGTCATCATGTTGCGTATGATATATTTCCATTTTTTTTGGGGGGGGGGAGGGCGGAACAATAATTCATCAACTTGGTTAAGAAACAAGGGTTTAGGATATCTTGCTGGACTTACTGAACCTGATGTAACTTCGATTTAGATAATATGTTCTGGCATATCTATGTTGTATGTTTCCAGCCAGATTTGCCATGGTCGATTGATCATTTTCCAGCCAGGTGCTGACACTGACGTTTGGCATGATGTTTTTTTTGTATTTGTTTGGGCCTGTTGACGGTTGGTTCCTCACAGGTCCAAAGTCAAAACTGGAAACAGTTGCAGTTGAAAACAAATCATGAAACAAATCATGTTTGAAACAGCAACAAATCATGAAACAAATCATGTTTGGAACAGCAACAAATCATGAAACAAATCATGTTTGGAACAGAATGCTGGTATTTTTTTTGTGGCAAGATGTTGGGAAAGAGTCCAGTTTTTTTTGACTGGGCTATGTTTTTTTTGGTGAGGCTGACGGTGACGGTGGGGTTTGGGCCTGTTGACGGTTGGTTCCTCACAGGTCCAAACTCAAAAATGGAAAGAGTTGCAGCTGGCAACAAATCATGTTTGGAACAGAATGCTGGTATTTTTTATGTGGCAAGATGTTGGGAAAGAGTCCTTTTTTTTTTTTGCTGGGCTATGTTTTTTTTTTGTGAGGCTGACGGTGACGGTGGGGTTTGGGCCTGTTGACGGTTGGTTCCTCACAGGTCCAAACTCCAAATTGGAAAGAGTCAGTGCAAGCTGGCAACAAATCACGTTTGGAACAGAATGCTGGATTTTTTTTCGTGGCAAGAGGTTGGGAAAGAGTCCAGTCTTTTGACTGGGCTATGCATTTTTTTTGGTGAGGCTGACGGTGGGACCCTACAGATTAATTTGCATGTGTTTTTTGGATTCCTTTGGGCCTGTTGACGGTGGGTTCCTCACAGGTCCCAAAATCAAAATTGAGAAGAAACCATTTTTTTTAAGGACAGAGCGCAGTACTGTACCATGAATATCATACTCCATCCGCACCTGCACAGAACACCCACCACGCATATCATTTTCAAATTGGTTCTACAATCAAGATAATTCAGACTCAGTCACCACGGTTTAAATTTTCAAATTGACCAACTCCCCCCCGGTGACCCTTTCCAGGAAGCATTCGCAGTGGTGGAGGAGCAGATGAACAAGACTAAGAAGAGGCAGAGGGCGAGTGGGTCGAAGTCTAAGTGGCATGGCAACGTCGGAAGGGGCAAGCAGCCAGCTCCACCGCCCGGTCTGGAGGACAGGGTTTTGTAAAAAAAATGGGAATAATCGTTTTGGTTTCAAGTCGGTAGTGCCGTGTGCAGGTGTGTTGTTACAAGTTGTGAGCGGCCGGTAGTCAAGTCACAGTTCTGCAACAGAGTGGTATCAAAATGATGCGCTGGTGCACTTGCATGTACCAAGAATAAATACAAACTATGAGTAAAAGGGTCAATGTTATCGACTAGCAAAAGAATTCACAAGGCAATCCTCTACCATATTCCCTGTTTGTTCCACCCACAACATGTTGCTTGATTGATGTTGAAGCTCAAGTTTTTGATATATATATATATTAAATATTTAATATTATATATATATACAATTATTTATATATATAATATAATATGTATATATATATATATATTAAATATATATATATATTGATTAGGCATTGTTTGACCAGATGTTTCAGAATGTGGCAGTCGAGGGCATTTAAGGCTAGCATTTTTTTCATGATGATACTGTTCCACAGTTTTGTCCAGATTTCCACCAGAAAAACACTGTTTCTCAACATTTTTGAATCATTTTTGTAGTTCCCAAGACCCCCCAACAGCTCCCAAGCACCACCTTTGTAATTCCACAGAGCTCCAACTAGAAGGAAATCATTGTTTTCCTCAAAAAAACGCATGTTTTTCATGTTATTTCATTATTTTTTTCGAATTTTCCACCGGGAAATCAGTGATATTCAGCACTTTTCTCAGGGTTACTAGAAGGAAATCCACGTTTTTCCTCAAAAAACACATGTTTTTCACGATGTTTCATAAGTTTTTTCGAACTTTCCACCGGGAAATCAGTGATTTTCAGCAATTTTCTTAAGGTTTTCCATTGAACATGGCTCCAACTTACCGACCCACCCTTCGGTAAGTTGCAGAAAAACGATCGGTAAGTTCGGCAATCTGCGGGCCTTACTGCAATTTCTGCAGCTTTTACAGCTATCAAATACCGCTGTGCCTTTCACGGTTTTACACCACATCGGTTCCACTACCTTGACGGTGGGTTCCTCAGGTGCCAGCTTGACGGTTGGTGCCTCAGCTGATTTGTCCCTCGGTATGCCTAAGCGGAACCAGAACAAAGCCAAAAATTGAAAAAGTGCCCGTGGAATAAGGGACGCAAAATAGCCAAGACTCACAAACAGCACGTGTTTATCCCCCGGGAACAGTTGGAGTTGTTCTTCGCGGTGGCGTTGTGGTTTGCCGGGCCGGTCTACGCAGTGGCGCTTTGGCTATGTTTGGTCACATCCAGAAGAATTTCAGAGACGCTTTTGTTGCGGGGGTGTGATGTCATGCTACATGGCGGTCCTGACAGCGACCATCCACACATCATCTACATACAAAGACCAGAAGATGAGGGTCGACAAGGAAACGGAAAGTTGGGAGGCGAAAGAATTGTGGCTCGAGTGTCCCAAGATGTCGTGGAAACGATTGAAGAAATTCAAGCACAGGGATTGCACAGAAACATTTTACCCATCTTGGAGCCTTACAGAACCTCTCATCAAAAATTGTTTGACCAGAAACCCCAGCGAAAAGATGTTTTTCAATTTCCAGAGGGAAACAAGTACATATTCCCGGCCCAGACTGCCAAAAAACACTGTAGACCCAACATGGCCAGACAAACTGTCAGCGACGCACTCAGCAAGATCCGGCAAGTTATGTTCGCTTTCACTGAGAGCAGACGCTGGAACTGTTCTGCAAAATGTTTGGGTAACCGAGTGACCGTGCATGGAGCTACACGGCATACTTCCGCTGCGCTTCTGTTGTTTCGAAAAGATGCACTATCCAAGCCACCATCCGAAAGTGTAATCATGGAAATTCAACAACGGTCTGATCCCAAAGTGTTTCGACAACATTATTTCCATTGTGATGAGTCAGAGCTCAAGGATGCATTGGCGTTTGGGTCCATCCAGTCCCCTTTCAAAAGAAAACAAACAGTGGCACCCATGGAACACCCAAATGAAACCAAAGATGATGATACCGTGACGGTGGGTCCCTCCGGTTCTAAGGCTTCAAAGGCTGACCACGCCGTGACGGTGGGTTCTTTCGGTTTTAACGATGATGATATCGTGATTGTCGGTTCATCTGGTTCAAAGTTTGACGGTTCAAACGCTCAAAGCACTGTGACGGTTGGTCCCTCCGGTGAGACCTCAAATCCTTTACTACCAGCACTCCCTCCCGGTCCTTGTCCGACGTGTGACGTCGAAGGGGATGATGCAAAGCTCTCCGTCCAAACGCCGGCGCACCAGTACCGTAGCCGGAATGCCAGGATCCCAGCACTGCGGGAAGCAGCATGTCACAGTGAAACCAATCAGTTGGATTCGAACCAAGATAGCAACCATTGAGCACCCTGCATGATTGCCATGAAGTGGACAAACTGTTTCGGTGATCATCCTAAATGTCAGTCTTGTAACTTGTGCATTTCGTCCATGAAGAAATCATATCATCATCAGTGTTAGACACAAAAAGTAAAAACTATGTGGCCTATTTAGCTACACATTCATGGTTTAGTCCGCGGCCCATCACATGAGGCATGGCGAAAACATAAGCGTAAAGAGTGTCTACGTGCACGTCGGCTACAACACGACTTTCTAGGACCGGGGGGTTGATTGAGTCAATTCAAACGGGAGGAGTTGGATGGTTAAAGGCCCCTTGCAATACAGAGTATATCAAGCAAGTTTGTGGTCTTCAGCCCCTCTTCCCATAATATATTTGAACCCGCTTTGTGGTGGCGACCCCTCAGCACAGTTTGTGGTCCCTAGCCCCTGTGTTGAGTTCGTGGTTTGCTGCTCGTGGGTTCAAACTCTCATGGGTCAGATCTTATAAGAACCAATTGTTTTTCTTGAATTAGTCGTGGTACAATGACCGTGTGTTTCACATCAAAATTTTGTGGGTCGTAAGTCATGTAAATCAAATAGTCAATTCAAATCATGTGAATGTACTGTTAGGGACTATCATGGAATGTATGGACATTGACTCTTAGTTGATTTTACTTGCAATGACATTGAAATAGGTAAATTGTATATGCAAAGTAAGTTAACAAACACCAACGCTGCGGAAACATACCGCAAATGCAAATAATGGGTAAGCATCATAGATAATAGCGCTCTGTCCTTTTTTTTTCAAAATGTGCGCCTGTTTGCATGCTGTGTTTTGCCTAACCTCAGCGCCACCGACAGTGATGGCCCTTGAGTTTCTGGCAAGCTCTTATTAGGTCATCAGAGGCAAGCCATCATGACAACAGATGCGGTCCAAAAATACTTCCACGTGGACCTTGCATCGAATTGCCGCGGGAAAACATCCTGATTTGCCAGGTCCAACCGTGAGCAAATCTGTGCCAGGTCCCACCGTGAGCACGTCAGCGCCACTGGGCGAACTCCCAGTCTTCACCGTGCTCCTTGTAGCTTGCGCTCCACCAGTGCCATGAAAATTTCAGAGGCATATCCTGAGGTGTCAATGCCTTGATTGGCATGTCGTACGGTGTGGACCTCATTGTGGAGTGGAACCCCCAATGCCCCAGTGGGATCACGTCCCGGATCTTCTTGCCTGCGAACGACGGTGGGGCCTGCCCGTTCGGCACCTCCAGCTCAGAGATCCATCTTTTCAGGTCATCCAGCTTGAGGTCACCTGGCAAAAACAAAAAAAATAAAATATGCTAAAATATGCAGTGAAACATTGCAATTCACATACTCTTGCAACAACACAGACGCCTGAGGTGTCACACGTGAAGGTCTTCAACCCGATGAACGGGATCTCGGCCACCCAGACATCATGTTTGCCATGATGGTCTCCAAACTCCTCCGGCACGTATTGGTAGTCCGTGGTGGAAATGCCAGTAACCTCGGACGTCTTGGTCTTCTTAGTGCTGGGCATGACCGACGTGGCAACGACGCGCAATGGATGCGCAGGTCCAACCGTGACGCAAATCAAAGGAAGCAATGGCAAAGTGGCCCAGTAGCTGCTGAGAGCCGAAAAATACAAAACACGAAACCATATGCACACAAATCAAAGGCACACCGTCTCACCTGACCCCGCAGTAATGTGGACCTGACGCCTGTTTTCCAAAACCAAACAAACAAAAAAAAAACGGCGTGCAACACAATGCTGACATGATACCTGTTTGCATGACAACGTTCTGGGAAAAAAAACACTAGCACGCAGCCAACTCAATAGCACTATGTTTCGTCGTGCTTCCCTGCATGACGTCCAATCTGACACTGCGGTTTCCACCAAAATCGTCTCAGATTTTACAAAAATGGACCGGACATAGGGCTCACACAATTCTAGCCCATACACAACTTGGAGAAAACAACGTTGTCTTACCAAGCCATGTTTTCAACTCCCACCGTCAGAAACATAAGTTCCCAGGTCCAACCGTGAGAAACCTATGTCCCCAGGTCCAACCGTGAGAGACACCTACCACGGCTCATCAGACGACTCTTCGTTCTTCTTTGCCTTGCGCTTCTTCGTCGGTTTCTTCGCCGGTTTCTTTTCTTCCTCCTCCTCCTCCTTGTCATTTTCCTCCTCGTCGTTGCTGTCTTCACTGGCTTGTTTCCTTTTCTTCTTGGCTTTGGTGGCCGCCTTCTTGGAATCGGAAGGTTTCTTCGATGCCTCCGTCGTCTCCTCCTTGGGTTCCTTCCAAGTTCCGTCGCCATTGAGGTACTGCTCCGCTTCCTGTCGGTAGAGCGTGTGGGAGCTGTCAACCAATTTTTGGAGGCAGTAGGTTGTCAGCCTGTCTTCCAACATCTCACAGTGCGTCTCTGTGATGCCGAAGGCAACCACTGGCACTCTCAGGTCGATGGCTGCCTCCAACAAGATTCCTTGGCCCGGTGTGAGGTCCATGATGGCTGCCACGTTGTAACTCTGAATCAATTCACGGAAGAACAATCTCGGCAGTTTGTCCGCTGAGAACACGCTCTCGACCCTGCCCTCCATGGCCACCTCTGCTTTCTGGTCTTTGCTCATACCTAATCAGTGACCATTGAGATAAAAAAATGGGAAACAATTTGCATTGGATGCACTTGGATAATGCTGCGTGTTGTTTTCAACTTTCCAATTTAATGAATACCAAAGTACCGAGTTCCTCCGCTGTGGTGAGACTCAAGGCTTTGGGCCCCAAGATCTTCTCTTTGAGGCTGCGAGTGGTCTGCCATTGCATGGCTGGGGCCGTGGACTCGACGAAACCCAAGACGTCTCCAGTGTTGTACCCGCTGTATATGGATCTTTTCTTTTCGGTGGCGAGATCTGGCACTAATTGTCGCCCTGAGTACATCACCAGAGTCGTCTGGCATGAATACCCACCGGACGTGCGAACACGTTTCTTCCTGTTCCTCACCGAATCCTCGTTGAACACGATGGTACAAATCTTCTCAACGGGGTCCACACCGTCTGCCTTGGATTTCTCGAGTCGAAAGCATTTGCGAAGCTCAATGAGGGAATTCCGGGCACCGTGCCACACAAACAACTCTGCCGCGGCAGGAACTGTGGCTTCTTGCAGACTTCGGGTGCCTTGAGCTTGGATCGGCTGGAACCTTGCAGCTGGAGACTTGGTCTTGACGGTTGGACCTCCGACCAATCTAACTTAACACTTCCGTTAATTTTTGATGTGGAAAATGACCTCCAACAATGTCAGCAGCAGCAATTCAATCCAAGTTACTTGAAACCTTCGTTGAGGACGCAATCCTTCAACGGAGACTGACTAACGATCCGGGTCATCTGCGACTGGGTTGAGGGCGTGCAAGAAAATGTAATGTACCTGCGGACACTGGTATTCGCCACTGCCTTCCAATACTGCATGCTGTGCTCTTTGAAGTCCGTGGGTGGCCTCCGCATTGTGCTCAAAGGCGTTTCTTCTTCCGCCGTGAGGGACCCACCGTCACCGGCGGAAGCGGCGGCCTTCTCATTGACCAACTCGTTTTCTCTCCCATTCCTCTTTGACTGGCGGCAACTCCATCACTTCATCTACGCTTTTGCTGCCTCGGGCCAATTGTTTCAAAGAGTTGTCCCAGGTCTTCGAGTAGATCAGCTTCTGCGAGGCGGCAGGCAGCAAACATGTGACATTCAATTATTACACTAACTGATTCGAAATGTGTTGTTGTCAAAAAACCCGAGCCTCCACGAAGTTCAAAGCCTCCAGGGACGAAGGGCTGAGCTGACCCTGCCACCCCACCTCTCCGCCCAGCATGTGCTTTCTGTAGCTGGAATGGCTGGAAAAGGCCGATCTCAGGACGACCAAATCCTTTTCGACAAGCTTCGCTTTGGCCAGCAAGTAAGTGAGCAAATGCTCAAGGACCATAGCCTTCAGCTCCCATACCCCTATGTTGCCCGGGGAGTGGGAATCTCCAAGGAGGAATCTCTTCGTGACATCTTCATTCGCCACTTGGCCTGTTTCCAGCATGTGGAACAGAGTCTGCCAGCACCAGACCCGATAGCAAGTGCGTGGCTTTGAAACCAAAGCGTGCAGCACAGCCATCTTGTTGAAGCAACTCTTGCTCCCGTACTTTTCCTCCAAGGTATCCAGCGGCCCAAGCATGTCATCGCCACTGACCCTTTCGGCGATGAGAATAGCCCAGTTAATCAGGTTGCCGCTGAGCTCGTCCTGGTTGCTGGCTCTTTTTAAACCTCGTTTGTGAAGTTCTTTCACCAACTCTGCCGGTTGCAAGGTTGAGGACAGGTCGGCCTCCAGCTTGCGCTTCACGCCTTGGATCTCCAGGCACATCTGCCAGGCCGTGCGGGACAAAGATTCATAGGCCTGACTGATTTCATTTCTTACATTCCAGGCCCGGATCCATGTGTCCCCTCCTGTCGCTCCGTCAGGTCCAACCGTGAACGCAGCTGGCACTGACTTCAAGACGACCATCCACTGCTCCTTGTTGCGAGGGAGATCTCGTGCACATGCAGCCAACAAAGCGTGCACATATCCCTCTGGCGACAGCATGTGAAGCCCTGATGGGATTTCTGGCACCACGCCCACGGGCGCACCGCATTCTACGATCTTGAGAAGGAAGGCGGGAGGCTCAGTGCTTTCCTGGGGCCACAAAAAATCCGCCAAAGCCTTGACGCTGTGCCGCTTGAGCGGCACGCCAGGACTTGGGCTGCGGAGGTGGTTGATCCAGAAGACATTAATGCCAGCAACATAAGTGCCGTGATTGCTGAGAGCCTTTTCGCATTGAGCTCGGCTGTAGGGTTCCTGCTCCAAAAACACATCACAATCAAATGGTCAATTTTTGGTTTACAAATGTAAAGGTCAAAACTGACATGATGTCATCTGTCCTGAATTCCTCCTTCCAGTGAATTTTTGGCAGCAATTGCCAATGCTGCTTCGGTTGCGTAGGATGCCCCGAAGTGCTGCAGGATGGTGTCCTGATCATGTTGAACCATTTCGTAGTAACTTCGGTTCACTTCGTCAACTGCCGAAAGAGCACCTGCTGCCAGTTTGCTGCCTTTGGAACTTTTGCGGGCTGTCGTGGATGAAGCTGGCGTTGCTGCCTTCTTGGCCGCAGGGGTTTGTTCAGCCTCTGCAGTCGCACCACTCTTGGCATTGGCCTGGTCCTTCAACTCTTTGGAAGCCTTGGCTTTTTGCTGCTTGGCTTTCTTCATGGCTTCGGTGCGAAAGTCATTGATGTCCTTGTTTTTGGTGTCCTCGTCGGTCTCTCCGGGAATCGTGTCCCTGAACTCGGCAACCTCCTTTTCCACTTGAGCCTGGCGTTTTAAACTGTGTGCGTATATGTCGTCATGGCCTAACATAAAACATTGGTCCTGTTCCATTCTGAAAACAAAAATACAAATTGCAAGCGTGCCTGTTCAGAAGCACTGAGACGCCATGCGCTCCAATTGCTTGGCACGCCCGGTGGCAAGGGATCCTTTGTTTTTTTCTCCGGCATGCTGTCGTCTATGAGGCCAGGTCCCACCGTGAGCACTAAGAAGCACAAATGCTGCTTGAAATTAAAATATTACGACATGGGTGTTGTTACTGACATTCAAATGACTGTGGCAAAATTGAATGAACAGTGACAAGGAAAATTATCGTTCATTAAATGATATGAATATCTTCTCGCAAAATGGTATCACTGCAAAAATCGAAATTCGGGGGCGTGAAAAACGGGAACATGATGATTTATAGTCATCAAAAAAATGAAATCAAAAAAAAACAGGCTCCGTCCAGTGCCACGACAACTGCATTTTTTTTTCAACGCAAGTTGGAATAATGGTGAGTGAGACCATGTGCGTCGTAACGCTCGGGACTGTCAGTGCGTCTGTGGCTCGCTGTCAGGTCCAACCGTGAACAGCTGGACTGCCACGCCCCACCGTCATCTATGCCAGTCATCTCCAGGAATCTCTGTCATTGCGATCCCTTTCATTAAAGATGCCTACGGCGATGAACGCTGCTATCAGGACCTTGCACAGCACATTGATTGACATGCCATCCCCCAAAGCTGCACCCACATCTTGCGGCGCATGGTGGGCCAGCAAGGCTTTGATGAGGTCGTCTGGCAAACCTTGCAAACGACCCGCCTCCAGGATGCTGAGGCGGCGGCGCAAGGCTGGAAGGTAATACCCTGGGGTGGCATTCTTCAAGCGTGTGTATGTCAAACAGGGAGCGCACGCCTTCAGGGCTGATTGAAATCCAGGAGAGGAATCCACATCCAAAATGTACGGCAAGGTCCAGGCCTCAACCTTGCCGTACTGCAAGACCTCGTTCCCTCGGATGTTTTTGTCGATGATTTTCCCCAACATGGACTTGTGAAACGGGACGGGCTTGGGCCACTTGAATTTGTTCCGTAATTTGGACAGTTGGATAGCCACGATGTAGACACGGGGTCTGCTATGTGGGATCCCCAGCTGTTTGGTATCCAAAACCTTCAACCACGCGCGGTAATGGTACTCGTTGAGGACCTTCTTCATGCAGTCCAAAAACGGTCTGTGCCTGACATGTAAAAGTCCACGGACATTCTCAAAAATGACCACGCACGGCCTCTTGCGGATCACGTACATCAGGCAATTGTAGCCAATCTGCCCTCTCGAATCCTGTGTGCCCAAGCGCTTCCCCAATGCGCTGAAACTTGGGCAGGGGAAACCTGAGATGTAGAGGTCGCAGTCCTCCGCGGTGTCATTGTCCCGGTCGACAATGTCAGGGTACATGTGTGACACTGGAACTCCCAGATGCTTGGACACTGTTTTGTAAATGCCTTGCTTGACTGCGTCGTTTTCACACCAAAAGACTGGCTTGCAAAACTCGGACATCCCAAGCTTGTCCAAAGCCACCAAATCACATCCCAGGCCAGAACAATCACTGCCGCATCTGATCTCTCGACGGTTGATGTCCGACACAGTCACATTATCTTTCCATGTCTGCAAGAGGGCCAGAACCTCCTCCCTGTGGTGCTCATCAACTTTAATATTCTTAGCCTCACCCTTAGACCTTTTAGCCTTCTTTCTGCACCTGTGCTGGATTACTTTCTTAGGCAGTGGACCTCGTCTCTTTGACGGCTTGGCAACCATTGCAACCAAAAACTCGCCAGGTCCAACCGTGAACGAGAAGGTCAGTCAGTGTGCCTGGGCCAGTCACCGTTGATGGCAAATAGCTGCGTCGCGTTGCCGTTGCATGCCGTTAGCGTTCTATGTTTCTTGACTAAAGTCGTATTAGGGTGTACGGCTCCCTACCCTCAAGAAAAAAGTCTTGCCGTTGAAGTCGGTGCGTAGGACCGCTGTGTTTTTTACACCCCCCTTACGCGCCTCGTGGCCGGTCACGGGATGCGTAAGGGGGGTGTAAAAAATGCGTAAGGGGGGTGTGGAGTCAGCGTCCGTTGTTCCGCACCCCCCTTACGCATTTTTTACACCCCCCTTACGCGCCTCGTGGCCGGTCACGGGATGCGTAAGGGGGGAGTAAAAAACGCAGTGGTCTTACGCGCCGACTTCAGCGTTTGTTCTTTTTTTTGAGGGTGTCTCGGCAGGCGAAGGCACGTCATCATTGACAGGCTCTTCTCCGGGGACCGCAGGCGCTGTTCCGGCGACGTCGTCCTCATAGTCGACTTCTTCTTCCTTGACCTTGACGGCTGGGAGGGACCCACCGTCACCAGCAGCTGGGAGGGACCCACCGTCACCAGCCGGTTCCTGCTTCGTCTCAGTCTCGGACTCGTCTTCGGACTCGTCCTCATCGTCATCATCAAGGGGCCCCTCCTTCCAAGTCGTCAATGAAGACTTGGGTTCGGAGGGACCAAGCGGCACGAACCAAAAGTTCGTGAGTTGAGGTCCAACCGTCAAACTCGGAGATGATGCTGCTACAAAGAAATGTTGTCGAAAAATGTGAATGTTGTCGAAAAATGTGAATGGCTGTCCAATTATTTGTGAAATTTAAATGTCAAAAATTTGGTTATCTGTGTCTGGTGACAAAATATTTCGTGGAAAACTAACTAACCTTGGATTTCCTGTTCGTGAGATTGATCCACTCAAACACTACTGCGTGGTTACATCATTGGCAAGCACTGACTCTGCAGCTCACTTGTTCAAACGTCGACCGTGCAAACAAGGTTGCTTCAGTCAAAAGCAGCAGCAGCATGTTTTTTTTAAACACATTGAATGTCAACCGGCGTCGCCTGCATGGTTGACCCACGATGGCCGACTAATTCATCATTTTGCCAAATCGGAGCCAGGAGTCCCTTAATTGCATGGAAACAAAAAAAATGTTTTGACGAAACATCGGCACGCCTGGGCCCGGGCAATTAATTGGACTAATTATATGGTGGACCCTGTGTGTCCATGATGGAACTGAAAGGAACGATTCCATGACACTTGTGATTGGTTACACCCGCCGAGGTCAATTCTATGACATTTTTGTTGGATTTCGTTCTTAGTCTTGATAATAAGGACCTGAACAAATTTAAGGATTGCTGGGCGCAACCGGCAATAACTTTGATGCTGAGGAACCCACCGTCAAGCAACGTGTGAATTGAAGAATTGGAGGACAAGATGCTGAGGGACCCACCGTCAAGCATCTTGACTACGTGCGGAGGGACCAACCGTCACACACTAATTAAATTGTGGAGGTGGAACCCACCGTCACACACTGGCGCGCTCAGCTCTCAGGATCAGACAACCGTCTCATGTTTGCCCTAAGAGCAAACCATTCAAACCACCGAATTGCCAATCGAGCTCCCCAGGCCGCCGCCTCCCATTGTCTCTTGCTCGCAAGTGCACGGTCCAAAGGGTCAGGCAAAAGAGATCGCACAAAGTGGGCATCCAAAAAAGAACGCCCAGCCACCAATTCCATTGCCACCCGTCGCTTGCCCAAGGTCGTCTCATGGACGCGCTGCACATCCTTGCAACTTACCGAAGGGTGGGTCGGTAAGTTGGAGCCATGTTCAATGGAAAACTTTAAGAAAATTGCTGAAAATCACTGATATCCCGGTGGAAAGTTCGAAAAAACTGATGAAACATCGTGAAAAACATGTGTTTTTTGAGGAAAAACGTGGATTTCCTTCTAGTAACCCTGAGAAAAGTGCTGAATATCACTGATTTCCCGGTGGAAAATTCGAAAAAAATAATGAAATAACATGAAAAACATGCGTTTTTTTGAGGAAAACAATGATTTCCTTCTAGTTGGAGCTCTGTGGAATTACAAAGGTGGTGCTTGGGAGCTGTTGGGGGGTCTTGGGAACTACAAAAATGATTCAAAAATGTTGAGAAACAGTGTTTTTCTGGTGGAAATCTGGACAAAACTGTGGAACAGTATCATCATGAAAAAAATGCTAGCCTTAAATGCCCTCGACTGCCACATTCTGAAACATCTGGTCAAACAATGCCTAATCAATATATATATATATATTTAATATATATATATATATACATATTATATTATATATATAAATAATTGTATATATATATAATATTAAATATTTAATATATATATATATCAAAAACTTGAGCTTCAACATCAATCAAGCAACATGTTGTGGGTGGAACAAACAGGGAATATGGTAGAGGATTGCCTTGTGAATTCTTTTGCTAGTCGATAACATTGACCCTTTTACTCATAGTTTGTATTTATTCTTGGTACATGCAAGTGCACCAGCGCATCATTTTGATACCACTCTGTTGCAGAACTGTGACTTGACTACCGGCCGCTCACAACTTGTAACAACACACCTGCACACGGCACTACCGACTTGAAACCAAAACGATTATTCCCATTTTTTTTTTACAAAACCCTGTCCTCCAGACCGGGCGGTGGAGCTGGCTGCTTGCCCCTTCCGACGTTGCCTTGCCACTTAGACTTCGACCCACTCGCCCTCTGCCTCTTCTTAGTCTTGTTCATCTGCTCCTCCACCACTGCGAATGCTTCCTGGAAAGGGTCACCGGGGGGGAGTTGGTCAATTTGAAAATTGAAACCGTGGTGACTGAGTCTGAATTATCTTGATTGTAGAACCAATTTGAAAATGATATGCGTGGTGGGTGTTCTGTGCAGGTGCGGATGGAGTATGATATTCATGGTACAGTACTGCGCTCTGTCCTTAAAAAAAAAAGGTTTCTTCTCAATTTTGATTTTGGGACCTGTGAGGAACCCACCGTCAACAGGCCCAAAGGAATCCAAAAAACACATGCAAATTATCTGTAGGGTCCCACCGTCAGCCTCACCAAAAAAAAATGCATAGCCCAGTCAAAAGACTGGACTCTTTCCCAACCTCTTGCCACGAAAAAAAATCCAGCATTCTGTTCCAAACGTGATTTGTTGCCAGCTTGCACTGACTCTTTCCAATTTGGAGTTTGGACCTGTGAGGAACCAACCGTCAACAGGCCCAAACCCCACCGTCACCGTCAGCCTCACAAAAAAAAACATAGCCCAGCAAAAAAAAAACTGGACTCTTTCCCAACATCTTGCCACAAA